TTTAAAGCGTCGATGGAGTTGGGATAAATTTACTCGTGACGGGGACGAGTGCGAATTAATAATGAAACTATTAACAAAGAGAACAAATATGCGTAAATAAGAGAATTTGAAACGAGTAGGTTTTTATCGATCGAGACAGGATCTCGGATTCTCCATTCTCTCACCAGATAGCATACCAGTACGGAATCAAATTGCTCTACTTTTTATTAAACGTTGCATTAATTTATGGAAACACGAATCTGTATTTTAAAAGTCTTTCTCTATCGAAATCTAAACTCCAGGTTGACAAATTTTGATTTCCCAATTTTCCTGCATTCCTGACAGAGGATAATACAGGACACTGTAGATCCTGAACTCGTTATTTACGTTATTAAAAAGTTCTCGCCATAGCTTTCTTTTTTAAATTACTTCTATTTTCTGCGAAACGCATGCTTCCAAGAAATAAGAACTAAATATTTACGTAAAAATTATCGACGCGTTCGATGGTCACCGATAACGTGGCGCGCCCTATGCTGCGTCTGGACGAACCACGCGGTCTTCTCAACGCCTCGCAAAGCGTAGACAGTGTATCCTGCGCAAACGGAAATTCGCGTATTAAACAAATATTTTTAATGTACATACGGTAAAAAAGGAACATCGATTCGAAACGAAAATACACGTGGACGTACTAAAATCAAATATATGCTCGAGAATAAAACAACGGTCATTGTACATTTTTAACTGTCGGAATAAACCGACTGAACTTTGAAAATCGTATTTCCCTCGATGAGCTCTCGAAAAGACTCGTGACTCACGGGATATCGGGGAGTCGTTTACCGGAACATGCATCTTATATAGCAATATCATCAGCCACGTCCGTTTTACGAGGCGACAACTGACAAAAAACACGCGCGTACCCGCTTTCTCCTCGCGCGGCGCTCGCGAATTACCGCTCCAAGATAAACAGGACTCGTCAGTCATTATTCTCGAACGTTGCTGTAAGAAGAACGCGATCCGAACGACTCGCGATCAACCGAGAAAACGTTCCTCGTCCCAGATTCTAATTTTCCTTCCTCTTCGAGCAGCGGTGTTAAATCTCGATTAGCCGGCGTATTAAGATTTATTACCCCGCGTTAGCTCGCGGTACACGAGCGAGGAGATCTTCGCGAATCCCGGATCGCCCACGCGCTTTCGTCTGAAACACGAAAAATCAAAGAGGCCGAGTGATTTTCCTTTGCCCTCGCCGCTTCCGACAGTTTCTTCCTACCAGTGATAGCCCCAAGACCACGGTGGCTGCTGGAAATCAATTATCGCGAGAAAAACCACTCGATATTCATATATTCCCGACGCCGCTCGAGCAAACGTAAATGGAAATGAATCGAGACGGTGATTGCGTATTTACATGCTGCGACCGGAGAAGGAACGCAACCACCGTGGTTCAGGATCGTTAAGTAATTAGCAATCAGTTCCTCGGAATACCGCTTTTTCTCGCGACGTTCTCTCCAGTCTGAATGAAAACAAAAACGCGAGCGGAAAATTGATATTACATTTTTCCTTTTCTATACCGAGGGATTTTCCAAGGTTCCCAGCTAATAATCCTACCCCGCGTTACTGCTTTGCCTCAAAGTCGTGCTTTACTTCCATGATTTTTGATAGCTAATTAATTTTCTTCCTCCAGGCGGTTCAATTCACCGTCGAATACGATCTCTAAAGGTTAGCTCTCGGAGATCAGAGCGGATGGAAAAGGCGACGGATTACGCGACACCCACGAACCGTCGTCTATCCTATTCGAGATCCGATTTTGAAGGTACACCGACACGTACGGAGCGGAGGTACGAGCAGAGGTACGAGCAGTTTCCCGGTGTCTTTGGGAAAAATAGACGGACCCCGCAAAACCGAGATGCACGGTTTGGATCCCCATCCTAGAGACGAGTCGCGGTTGTTCCGTGGTAACTGGCAATTAAAAGTTTCTCCGCGGCTGCTTCTTTGCGGCTGCAGCGATGTTTCTTGCCCGGAGCGTCGCCGAGACGACGGGTGTAACAAAGGAATTATTAAAATATCAGCCGTCGAGTCCCTGCTCCTTTTCACGGCGAAGACGCAGACGTTGGAAACGGGTCGCGTGGGCGTCGCGACGCTAAATGAATTCGTATCGGTCCAAGTTGCACTGGAATCTTATTATAGACGCACCTACGATCTCTCGACTATCGGTGAATCAGTCCTTCGTGCCGCGTGACTCACGTACGCGTTAAAAAAGAAAGCACCGAGCAGCCTGTTCCGGCATGTACTACGCGAAACGTTCGATCGGCCATGTTTATGGAATATTATCGCAGCGAGAGGAATATTTTCCAAGTCCCACGTATGCCGCGCCATTGGAACCACCATCAAACCCGTTCCCTAGTCTCTGTCCGCTCTGGCGGATTGAAGTCGCGAGCTGCACGACCGCCATTTGTCTCGATGCGCTGAAAAGCACGGCAGCCGATAAGAACACCGAAAACTCGACGACGGTTCCGGTCCATCTGCGATCTTGAATTTTTACACGGACAACTGGGTCATCGAGGACAAAGCGAGAAAGCGAAGCGGCCAAAGAAGCTCGAGGAAGAGAAAAAGGGCGGAAAAAGGACCGAAATGGGGAATGGCTGGAAAAGTTTTCGAAACGTTGCGTCGGATAGAATCTTCGCCGGTCAACCTGATTTTCTATTAAGGTCGCCAAGAAGCCGGTTAGGTTAGGAGAGAGTCACTTATGCAACGGATTTTCGGCGGTCGTTGGTTTGTGCATAAACAGAGCGACTCGTCCGCGATTTGCCCGTTAAACGACTCGGTTGCTCGTACGATTGAAAAGCGGACGATACGTGGCTCGAATACTTTACGGAATTGTTCCCCTGGAAAGAGACGATCTGTATGCCTGGCACAGAATTGACGCGTTACGTGCCACTAAGGGTTGGCCGGCGTCGTAAAGGATCCGCGCTCAGCCGACTCCTGCCGCGGCAGCAAGAGGGCAAAGGATACACGGAAACGTAATCGCGTAATCGTCGCGGCGGAGACGACGTCGTAAGTCCTTTGCCAGATGGGCGAACCTGATCGAATATCCTCCGGGCTTATTGTCACGTTCGTATGGAACGACGCGAGCAGTCCTTTATTTGATCGCCCAGTATTTCGTGGATCCCTGGACAGACCCCTTTATTTCTTCGTTAGAACGCTGGAACCGAGCTGGGAACGACGACCAGTCGTAACGACTGGTATCTCAGCGAATCGCGATTTAACGAAACGACCGAGTTACGATCGCTCCAAGACGACGTTCAATTTGTCCGAGCCTCGTTCCTTCGAAAAATCATAGCAGGACGACGGCGAAAGGAATCCCCGTTGCGAATAAACGCGGAAATTAGGAAGACGAAGTGAGAATTTTGGAGGATCGTCACGCGTAATCGGAATATGTAAATATTCGGTCAGGGAAGCTCCTTTTCTTTAATCAGAGACGAAGTGGTTTCCCTGATGGTATCGGAGATTCGTGGAACAGAATTTGCGATAGAACGGTTCACGCGAGCGGCATTCAATTTCACGAGCATCTCCAATCGGATACTCGAGAGTCAACATTCCGCACCAAACTCTCTCACGGACCACAGGAACAAGGCTAATTCGATTTCAGCGTAACACGGTTTACCGTCGGCTTCGCCACGGTTTCGACGTGTTGCCACATATTGCCGGGTATAAAACGCGAAAACAAATCGACCGTTGCACGATTTGCCGAAAAACAGCCATCGATCCAACAGCCAACCGCACACGCGGACGGCTCATCTTCGGAGAGATCGATTTTCATCATCGGAGGAATATTACCGGGGATATCCGACCTCCGCGTTCGCGAAGCACCGTAGGAAAGGATCGTCTAATTTTGGCAAAGACAGTTACCTTCGATCTCCGATCCGTTCAGCAACGCAACTCACCGTGTTTGAGAGAGCGTCTATCTACGTGGGTGTGTTGGTCCATCGTGTTATTCGTTTATTATCCTAGCTGGTTTGCCTGGCTTATATTGTGCCGGGCAACGTTGTAAATGCGCGGCTGGCACTGTTCTTCCAGCCCGCGCCCGATACATCCACCTTCCATCGCCTCGCCGTTCTCATTTCTGAACCTCTCTCGCTAGAGCTCGTTCGATCCTCCTCGCCGCGAGGATCGACAGATCTGAGAGTACGCGCGAGGTGTCCGTCGCCGAACCCCTTTGGACTCTTTGGTTATTCGGTGCTCTCCTCTTTCGATCTCCCAGCGATTTCTCGCTTCAAACGCGTGTGGTCCGAGTGATCTAAATAGTTCGCGATACACCTGTTCCTGCAGATTCGGTGCAGTCGAGCCGAGAGTTTGCGAATCGCAATTGGGGATGACCACGTCCAGAAGGGCGACAGTGAAGGTGTCCGTTCGTTCAGCGCGCAACTCCAAGGTGATTACATCCTTCGACGGATGAATCTCGCGAAACCTAGGTCGTGGGTCGCGGTATTTGGTCGTCCGTGGAGGTTCGTGATCGCAGTGATTTCAACGCGGCCACGTTCCGCGGTGATCCGCCTACTTTTTCCCCGTCAGGGTGTTTCTAATTAAACCGGAGCTGCCGTAAATCCGCGACGCTTAATTTAACGGCGAGCATGCCCGTAAGTTTCGCTGCGAAGTTCCTGGTACCGCGTATCTCCTGAGACGCACCGGGCGTTGTAAAAGTTTCCAAGGCGCGTGCTCTGGAGAGAAAAGGAGAGGGTGCGAGAGAGGAGAAGGGAAGCAGCTGGAGGACTGTGCTGTGATACCGGTGTGCGATAAAATGCCCTGCAGGAGAACATCCGTCGCGCTGCGAGGTGTCGTTCGACCGTCGATGATTCACGTGGTCGTCGCTTGAATCGAGAAGAACTGCCGGGAGATCGGATCGCAACGAGGTAGTATCGATGATCTATGCCCGTGAAGGAGGATCGCTCGAATCCAGCGGGACATTTCTATCGCCGAGGATTATTTAAATCTGTCCGGGGAAGCTGATTTATGTCATTGTCAGGGCCATGCCTCTCAGATCGGAAGCGTCCTCTTCGAGGGACACCCTCGATACTACTAGAACCACGGTTAGTTACAAGCGATATTTTCACACCCTATCCACGTTCCCGAGCTCGTTCCATCGTCGTCCCGATATTTGCGCTGTCTGAGCGATGATTAGCGGTGTTACGGCTTTAAAAGGGCAGGGTTGATGGAAAAGGCTGTCGCAAACTTTCAGCCAGAGCCTTTTTCACCGACTCGAAATTTAACGCAGTTCCATTCGACTTTGGTTCCGGTCCCACGCGTCCAGCCTCGATCCCTCCAACTTTTTCCAGCCACCCGTGTGAACTTCTCCGCGAGTACGAAGACAGATGTGCTACCGTTTCTACGCCCATCTCCATTTCCTCTTCGCAGCGTTACGCTACTCGCGCACTCGGCACGTCTCGCGTTTTTCCAAAACAATTTCGCGCGGATAAAAGGTTAGCCGTTTTATGGCGTGCATTAACGGCGCAACGCTGGCTCGCTGTACGAGAAAGTACTAGCACCGGTACATCACTGCAGTTGCATAGCAGAGGCCCTTAAAACATCCCTTTTTTACCGTGTTACCGTTTCTTATTTCGCAAAGTTTCGGTTTTCCCGTTCGCCGCAGGTAGTTCCGCGTGAGGTAGGTTTCGCAAATAAAAATCCAGGCAAAGTCGAGTCTGCGTTTATCTTTTGTTTTCGCGTAACGTGCTTCGCGCGGAAGAGGCACCGGGGTGAAATGAAAATCCATGCTCCTATTTTTCTACTCGATTTCGGATGATTTCTAAACCCGCGTTCGAGCGAGATGCATTTTCTCGTGTATTTATCAACGTTAATTTCCAGTTACACCCGAAAACTTTCTCCATCGCGCTCTACGTTCCTCCTCGATGCTTGTAACAATGGAAACTCCGATTCTACCCCGCTAAATATCGCATTTAACGGTACGATCCGGGGAACACCGTGATTTTCGTCGACTAATTCTCGAGCCAGATTAAACCGTCGTAACAGAACCGAGATATTCTTGCAAAGAAGGCGTAGTTAAAGGGTAGTAAAATCCTGGTATTTTAAAAGGAAATAAATTTTCTGCGTCTCGTCCTGTTCGAAATTCGGTGCGAATCGGAGACGCGTGCTGTTGGGAGGAATATTCAAAGATCGTGCGATGCGCGTTTCATCGGGATACACTTGGTATTTCTTCGCGTGCTACGCGTTCCAAGTAGAAGGGAAAATAATCGTAGAACGATCCTGGAACCGGATGTCGGGATCTGTCTGCACACGGTACGGCGGTGTATTCGCGACGCCTCCGCCCGCGCGGAGAAATAGATCGGCGTCGAAGCGTGCCGACTATCTACATCCGACGGTACTTCGATTTGAATACGATAATAATAGGAAAACGCGTCGGGGTAGCGGGAATGGCGCGACTGGCCGCGTGTGCGCGCCGAATGCAAAGCAGCCCGCGATGGGTCAAATTGCATCGGCGTCGCGCGAATGGAAATGGAGCTGTCACTTCTCGCCAACGATCGTTGCCCAAAATTTAATACCGACCGACCGAATTCCCCTTCTCTCTGCTTTCCACCCTGCCTTCCTTCCACCCCCGTGACCTCGTTCCAATCTTCGCAGATGAGACTTCGAGAAGAACTAGCAAAGAAATCTTCGCGTTTCTCCTTTTTACCACATTTTTACCCCTACGAATCTTCCTGCTTGTTTTTCATCTCGATTCAAATCGGACAACGCGATTTTAATACGACCCTCCTCTACCGGGCCATTCCTTTTCGCAGTTTCATCTCCGAAGACGTACTTACTCCACTTTCCAGCACGTCACTGCTCCCGTTTCCCCGACCAACGTTCATAAATTTACCGTCAGCGTGAAAGGTGGCGTCTCCCCTTTTGAATCTCCCGTAACCATTCTATCGCGTAGATTTTTCCATTAGCTATGTCACCATCGTCCATTTTGCGTCGCTGCGTCTCCAAACGCGGGATCTCGGTTTGGCGAATCGGAATTCCGTGGATCGGAAATTGCCGTGGCACCCCGATCGCGATAGTCGCGGGACTCGCGAGGTACAGAGAACAACGACTAGGATATTTGTCATTTGTTGACAGGACGAACGACGTCGGACCGGAAGGTACGTCGCCGGTGGGGCCGTGCTGGCAATCATGCTGCTCGCCGTGCATCATGCACTCCTGCGGGACGCGTCCACCATAACTGGTGTCTGCATACCGGCCATAATAATGGTGTCCTACATTATCTGGATCTTGTATTCCGCCCACCGGGATAGACGAAAGGTAACGAGTTTTAAATCTCGGCTGCACAATAGCCTCCTCCGACTGGGTGGTGCTCGGGATCTCTCTTCTTTCGCGCAGCTGGACAATTGCCAATCGGTTCGTTAAATGTTTACAGCGTCCTCAAACTTTACGGCCAACTCGAGTTCTTTGTCCGTCTCTCTGCTTCTGCGATGTTAATTTTCGGTGGAACGATCGCCGAACACGGTGGCCGATTTTTGGATATTTCTTTCCGAGTTACGCGGGACAAATGGAGTAAGTTCGGCCACTCGGCTTTTCGGGAAACCATCTCGCATTCTGAGACGTTAGCGCGAACGAGCAGTCAGAAGCACTCGAGTTCTTCCGCGAGATCGTTTGTCTCTCGAGGGGAAAGTTTGACAGGTTCTCGTAAACAGAGATTGTCATTGAAATCGACCACTTTTCCTCCGCCGAATTTTTGATACTATCGTGGCACGTATTAACCTTCTTTTCTTAAACTCTTCTTTCGATCGTAACATTTTTACTTCCTTCCTCGAATCGAGTCCATTACCGATATCAATGACGACTACCAGTGGTCCTTGACTACAGAACTGAACGCGCAATTTCCAGCGAAACGATATACACTTTCGCGAATTTTCGGTTCCCACGGAGTTAAAAATTTCCGTCGTTGATACCTTAATCTCGTTGGAAGCCTTATGCGACGCCATGGTCGTCGAAACAAACACGCTAGCTTGGTTCCTAACGTCGCTGCAGCGAGTCGTGGGCGACGTCCGCTGCCGAATTTCCGTTCAATTTTCGCGGATAGTCGACCGGTGGACCAAGCGGAGCGCAACTCTCCGTAAACGGCTCGGATGAAACGCGTAATTGAATGGGGATGAAGTTCGGAAATAAATGTCGTTTGAGCGTGCGGAAAAAGCGTCGGTGCGAGACGAGAGCGAGGAATTAGCGGGACTGGTTGGCGCGAGCGAACGAGAGCCCCGAATTGGACAACTTTTTTCGCCCTCTGGCTACTTTTAATCTTGTAATAAGTCACGGGACTGGGTGCAACGGGTTCGACGGCGCAGAAACTAATTGGATTGGCCGGCAATCGGCCTCGTCCTGGTGGCTTTTGAAGATCGTTGCGTCGTTGGACGACCCGGTGCCTCGAGCTCGCAGAAATCCCGGCGAATCGCAGTGGAGTCGCGCGTCGATGCTCGTGCAAAGCTAATAGCGCGAGTCCGATCGGCTTTTTGCAGTTGCATCGGCTTTGGATGAACGCGGATCGTGACGAGGTTCTAGCCCCGATGGACTCGCTCGGAAATCTCGTTTCGCGTCGGAGTTTTGCGTTAGCCATTCGTGAAATTGTTTCTCAGCGGGCTAGAAATTCGCTTTCGACAAGCTGGACAGTTGTAATTTTTATTCCCGCTGCGATCTTGCTACGAGGCACATCGCGTTTACGTTACTTCGGCTTCGATCGTTCAATGTTTACGAGTCGAAAGATGCGGAGGGGGGCTCTGCAATTCCGACGCGAAAGCGATCAATCTTCTTCGCGACTCTTCGCTTCGACGGAACGTTATTTTTAATCGTTTGCTCGCGCGTTCGGGGCTGATCGTATCTACGCGCGGCCAAACAGTCGAAATCGAACGGAACGAATCTTCTTCGCTAGAACTCGCGGGTGAAAACACGATCGCGAAGAGGGTTGATCCACCTCGCGACGATTCCTCGCACTCGCCGACCCTTGCGAGCGGAAATTAAAACGCACGTGTCTATCAATCCGTAGAAAGTAATCTCGCGACTGATTCTCGATACAATTCCCCCAACGCGCGATAGTTTTCGTTCGGAGTTTAAAGAGGATTCGTGCCAGGGAGAGGAAGGATAAACGACTGGCGGGCAAAGCGAGTTCGACGAGAGAAGTTTTACGGGCTAGCTGTGCGAAAATGCGCAACAAAATTCGAGCGAGTAAAAATAAGAGACAAACGGCGAGCTAAGCGGCACGCAGGGAATCCGACTAAACTGGAACAAGGTTAATTGATAACATAAAACGAGGTTATCTAGTCGTAGGCAGAATTCGTGATTTACGATGGCTGAAAGCGGCCCTGGTCTCGCGGATTTTCTCGTCGTTAAGTATAGCCGTCGTTTCGTGGACACGAGGAGAAAATGGTAACTCTTCGATAAAATTGCAAAACATCGAACTGCAACGTTCCTTCCCTCGGCTCGCTCGCGAATTCGCCGAATTCTCCGCGTAATTCACCTTCTGACTCGGATTTTGTGCACGTTATCTCGGAAACGTCGTCTTTATCGGTTCTCGAGAGCTTCCATGGAAGAACTCTCGACGACTCCGAGCGCGTGAACTTTAGTCGTCTCTTTGTTCACGCTTCCCGAATACCCTTTCTCCGTCAAAGCGCCGGTAAAGGGACTGCAGTTACTCGACGACTCGAGTAAGCTTTGCTCGTAGCTTTGCCCTACGAGCGCGCGAGCACCCGACCCGTTTGCACCCTCTCGTCTTTGTTCGGTCAGCGCGATGTGACTCGACGATCGACAGTCCCTAGGTCTCATCGAGGAGACGCGCGATTGAGCGTACACACGCGCGCGGGTCCTCTGTATGTCGCCGAGTAACTCTCCGAGTTTCGCTAACGATTCTCGATTCTGCTTGCAGGCGCTGAGATTCGCCACAGCGATGCAGCTGACAGAAGTAATCAGCGTGCCAGACAAGCCCAGAGAGGTGATCTGCAGGAACGGGAAGAGCAAGGACGAGCTACGGAAGTCGGCCGACTCGAAGCTAGACTACGCTGCGCGACAATCCCGCGAGAACCCGGCGTTCTCCTCCAAGGACGAGGCTTCGTGAGAGCAACGTGGAACTCGCCTGGCACGCGTTCTCGTACTCCGACTTTCGCCTGTGTTTATCGCGAATCGAAGGACTCTCGAGAAACACTCACCTGCGTCCTCGTCGTCTCGCGGATGCTCGTTACGTTCCGACGCTTCAACGGCGATAAATAAGCACGCGCGTTCGTATCGGTTGCGTCGGAACGGCTTTCCAATCGAGCGGTCGGATTTTGCGAGATAGAATTATTTGTTTAGTTCGCGAGCGGGATTATTTGTTTCCGCTGCGTGACGCAACGTTTTCTGTTCGCGGCACGTGCACCCTGCACTCCGCGTCTCGCGAATAAATCTATTTTGCGGCAGAGATAAATTGCGAAAAGCGGCGCGGTCGCTCGGGGCTGCATCCCGAACAATCGCCACGACAAATCGCGGCGGCCGTTTCGCGGTCGCTGCGTTTTATCGTCCGCCGATTTACAGAATCTCTCGCTCTTCTTCCAACGGACAGACTATGGCAAAAATTCGCGACGAATCGCGACGCGGAGTCACGCGGAAAATACCGACTGCGCGTAAAGGGGAGAACCTCGTTATTCCCACGCGAACATTCTGTTCCGAGCAATCGAACCAGTCGAACCACTGCTTTTCTCTTTTTTAAATAAAACTCTATACTTTGCGTAAGAAAAAAGGAAAGGATCGGTAATTTTCTCCCGATAAGAAGGCGCATTTTCCATCGCTTGGACCGCAAACAAGGACGAGCGCGGTGAGTTAAGTGGTAACCACGGGTACCTGTTTCAAACGACCTCCGGCATCGCCTTTTGTCCGTTTCAATTTCTCGCCGACACCTGAATAATAGCCCCGGAGTGGCGCGTTCGGCTCGGATGGAAATGGCGAACAGGGGAGAAGCCAAGGGCGCGAGACACCGGCCGACAAACGAGTGGAGGAGCGAAGCGATTCGCCGACGCTCCGCGCGCTTAATAAATGGCGTCCATTAATTAGGAAAAAATATAAAGCGACGTTGTAATTCATTAGCGAAGCCTCCGGTCGCAATTCATTTTCGTCTCCAGCCACCGCCACGTTTTCTCCGTTTCTTTCCAATCTCTTAATTATTTCTCGCGTGGTTAATTATACGATCCGTGAGCGACCAAGGCGAAGAAGGGTGTTCGAAAGGAAGGGAGCTCCGAGTGGAGCTGCAAAGAGAAAAGGAAACCGGCATTCACGGCCGAGACAAAGATTCTCCGGCTCGTTAACAAAGGATATAACGGAGAGGACGTGGCACGACGTTTCTGACCGCCGAGGAAACCGCGTTTCGATCGAATTCACCCCGATTCCCGTGGATTACGTGGCCCGGTAATTCAGCCGCGGTCCTATTTCGGGCAGATAATTCGATTCGTCCGGCATGGGACACGCGATTGCAGCATCCATCTTTCGACGATTCGACCGCGGAAGGAGCACGTCCATTTCGATACGCGAGACCGGTGATTAAATGCCCTCTCTGTCTCCCTCCATCTCGGAGACTCTTCATATTCCTGACTCTCGCGACCCGCCCAACGACGAGGAACTAACATCGAGGAAAACCGTTTCCGGAGTCGTGGTCACGCGAGTGGACAGTCGATCAAGGATCCTCGTGTCCGTCGATCCGACGTTACCGACAACCATCTATTCGTGTTTGGAATAATTTGTCACTGCGCGATTGCGTTTCTAGAATTTCTTTTCAGAGCTGAAACGCTTGGTTGCGTCGCGGGGCAATTTCTCCGTTCGTCCTATCGCGTTCTCCAACGACCCCTGTCACTGGAATTAACTAGAAAACGCTTTGGAACGACGGTTTGCTTAAAGCTAATCCCAGGAACAGTTTAATCCGCGGGACAATTCGTCTTTACGACACCTTCGATCGCTCGTGTCCCGAAGACGTCCTCAGGGGTGGTAAATCGTCACTGTCACGTCGCCGTTCCAGTTTAACGGAACAAGCGAACACGACATCGCGATCGTGTCTCTGTCTGCTAGATCGCGATACTACGCGTTGACCTGATTACGATTGTTTCGATCCCGACGATCCATTAACCGATAACGAGCGTTTTCTTAAACGAGGCATTCGAGCGACGTTGTACGGAAACGATTAAAGATTCCGTGGCCATTGCGACCGGATCGTGGTGGCACGGTTACGAGGAGAATTCGTAAGTGTTTTCCCGGCGTGTACGACCGGGATCGATCGGATGGAAGTTCCGCGGTGTCGACGACGTGGTTAACTCGGCTTGTTCCTGGCCAAAGTGGAAGTTTCGTATTGTTGTGGTAATCAGACCGGATTGGCTGAGGCGCGGCCGGAAAGGGGTTTTCTTTTAAACGAGCTGCCCGCGCCAGCCAGTCCTTTACGATGAAACTTCGGATTTATTCGAGGAGAACCCGCGCGTAGCCATCCTGGCCGCCGTTGTGCCCCGGGTTAACGAGCAGAGGGGTTAATTTATGGCCAGCGGGCTACTCTCTCGGAAGGGAATTTGTTGACATCGTATTTCCATCGAGGGTGTTATCCGAAATCTCCTATCTGACCCGTGGCGCGCGAGCTACTCGAAAACTTCTCTCCCCGTCTCGATTTATGTCCCGGCTTCTCCTCGAATCGTCGTGTCAAAGCAAAAGTGTATCTCACCGTTCACGGAATTCCTCGTTCCATCTCCGTTACGTGACGTAATCGCGGGAAGATCGCGACGAGATTGATTCTTCGGAAAGATCGACGACTCGCGGAGATACGGTTCCACGAACCCGGATGACTTACGGAACGGCTTGGATCGTTTCATTCGGCAGATTCTCGCGAGTTCTCCGTAAGTCGAGGGAGACGAGGTAACCAGGGAAATGGCTGAGCGTGCCATTTGGCAGCGACGTACCCCGAAAAGTCTGAATCCAACCGTCCAGGGACTCCGCGAGTCGTCGACTCACGGATGACGGGGGAATACAAAGGGAGAATTCGTTTTTCGGCAAACGATCTCTATGTCAGCGTCGAGAGTTGGTATCAGTCTCGATAAACGAACACGCCACGCGAGGGGTATTAAATATTAACCCCTTGAGCGTTTCTGTCGTGCACGTACGTCACCACTAAAATCGATTCACTGCGACTGGCGTATGTACATACACGGGTTACCAAATTTCCGTTCTGACAGTTACCCGTGCATAGTGCCTTGCAAAATTGGTACCAACCTTCTGAACAACGGCGAACAATCGCGTACAGGTGGTACAAGCAACTTGGAAGCGAACCCTGTCTCGTTTCGAAATTTTTTCCTGAAATTTCTTGACAAGTTATCGCGTATGGCAGGCACCACGCGCGTTCCTTCCGGTTGCGTTGAAGTATGATGGAGTATCGCGGCAATGCGATATACTCGCAGAGGAAAGGAACTCCTCGTTTCGACTCTCGTCGCGAACGACATTTCCGTGGCGCGGAGGAAGAG